CTTTCCTTTCTCTCTTGCCTCTGGAAAGCCTCAATAGAGAAACTCTGGGGCAACAATTCGCCCTTCTTCCTTTCTCTCCTCTTTGGACGTCCCCGTTTCTACCACAACTCGCTCCCACCCCAACAGTTGCACAACCCACAACTGGAGGAGGCCAGAAAAAAACTTCTCCCTTAGTCCTCCCCCATCCCACCCCCAAAAAAGGATCCAAAGCCTTCCCCGCTGGATTAAAAAGTCTCCTCGGGGGCGGGGGGGAGGCAAGACCCCTTCCCTTGCTCAGTATCCTGCAAGAGAACTGCTTAAAAAAACTGGCATCTTCTCCCGATATTCTGCACCGTTATGGTTGCGTCCCTCTGCCGGAGCAGAGCCAAGATGGCTGTACAGTAACCAGACTTGTGTGTCCAACGGGGGGCAGCCTGAGGTCCCTGGGGGCCACAGAGACTGTCTCATCCCGTCGTGCAGCCTCGGCTTTCCTTCCGCGTGGCCTAGGAGAGCCCCACCCCCCCCCGCCCAGCCTTCACAGCACCATGGTGGGGATGTGGTGTCCCAGAGCCGTGGCGTGCGGCACAGGCAGGGCGGGTGAGTGTGGCTGCAGGGCCCCATTGGGAGGGCGGTGCCGGGCACTCTTCTGGTGCGCCCGGAGGCCGGCCAGCTGCGAGTAGGCGCTTTGGCAGACTTGGCACTTGTAAGGCCGCTCTCCGGTGTGAAGGCGGACGTGGTTGCGCAGGGTGGAGGACTGGCTGAAGCGGCGGTTGCAGAAGCGGCAGATGAAGGGCTTGTCTAGGGTGTGGATCCGCATGTGGGAACGCAGGTTGCTGCGCGAGTTGAAGCCGCGGTGGCAGATGACGCAGCGCATGCGGCCCACGGTGTTGAGCCCGCCTTCAGCCAGGTGGAAGTCCTCTGGAGGGGGGGAGGGAAGGAAAGAAGGAAGGAAGATAAGTAGGCAAACAGGAGGGATTAGAAGGAACTTCCTGCCACTGGGTTTTGGGGAAGGTAATCGCTGTTGTGCCCATGAAGCCACGAGAACCCTGGGCTTGGAAATCAAGAGATCTTCAGAAATGGAGAGATTAGATTTGGCCACTGGGAGAAGTCTGGAGGTGTCTATCCATCCATCCACTCCTCCCTCCCTCCCTCTCTCTCTCCATCCATATCATTCATCTCTATCTGTCTGTCTATCTATCTACCTACCTATCATCCATCCATCCATCCATAACTAGCTAGCTAGCAAATCTATCTAATCTGTCCACTTCATTTCTCTCTATCCGTCCAAATCTTTCTCTTCTATCAATCTATCTGCCTATCCATCCATGTCATCTCTCTTTCTCTCTCTC